AAATATAGAACTAGGCTAAATGAAGAAAATTTTAAAAATTTGTTGAGGATTTCAGTACCCCAAACACTACTGGACTTAATCAATTTAAAAACAATATTCAGGAACAAAAAGCACATTGAATTTTAATATATGAATAAAATGAAAGGTAAACTATTTTCCTTAATATTTTATATTTACATATTTATACATTTTATGTAATCGGAATTGTATTTTCTTTTTTCCCTTTTAATATTTGTAAATTTTTTGTTCTCTGAATCTAAATTTATTTCTGTTACTTCATTGCTTAGAGTATGTAGGCCAACAAATAGAAGAGAAAGAAGAACTTACTATCCCCACTCCAGAACTGTTCACCGTGCACGGGCGCATGCGTAGGTAGGTGTCAGTAATCAGTGACGTTTAGTCACACATCTGATATTTTGTGATATTCAACTTATTTTTTAAAGTAATTGTGATTGGAGTCAAATAATTAAGATAAGAATCAATATTTCTTGAAATATTTAAAGAATGTTTACTGTCATTTTATATTATTATTTTTATACAATCAAAAGCAAGCCATGTTTTATAGTGACATTTCTGTTTACTTTTTATGCTTATAAGACATTTAGTTATATTCTCGTCTCCTTTTTGGGAATACTGTTCATTTTATTTATATACAAAGTATACTGCATATATTTGGCTAAATTAATAACATACAATTTAGCTGCGAATAGCTGTAGATATCTGAAATATAGGGGTTTTGTTAATTTTGCTATATTTGATGACGTCACAAAAAGAAAAGTAGTTAATTGTTATAATTGTAATTAGTTACGATTTTCTTTGTGTTAGCTAAATCTGATGACTCTGGCATAAAAATAGTGACCCATAAATATCTTTGCGACCAAATGAAGGTACAAGATTTGCCTAATATAGATGATAAACTCAAACATTAGGAAAATCACTTATTGACCTGTTATGATGACACACCTCATAATTTAAGCAGTTTAAAACAAAGATTTGAATATTTTAAAATAGCGATGAAAGAGAAATGGTAAAAGGCCCACCTAAAAGAGGCAGTATTTCTACAAACAAATAGAGATTGGTTAGATAAAACATATAAACTGGTAGAAAACAAACAAATGTTGAAGACTCCAGTGAAAGGATGAAAAGAATAAACATGTTCTTGGTTTGATGGGGATTATCATTTATGCAGCACAGACAACATTACAGGCTCAAGGAAAAAGGAATGCTTCAAAAACACTAAAAGGGATCATATCCAACTCGTGCAGAGAAATACAGAGGTGCTTACAGGAAATTAGATAAAAGATGGCATTATTGTTCTTACACTGTTGCAAGCCATAGGAATGTTTGTTGAAGCCGATTTAGCTAAATGATAATATGAAATTATTAGGAATACAATACAAGAAATCCTTTGTTCTCTAAATGGCAATGAAAGGAATTCTTTGGAAATTATTTATAAATGGAGTTGTGAAGGAACTCAACAAGCCAGATATAAACAGAAATTTGATGTTGCTGCCTCAGATGCGCATATATCCTAGCTTCTGTTCTTCCACTTTGAATCGTATATGGCAAAGAAGGTATATGATTTAGGTTTGTGAAATAAACTATTGATGTAACATAGAAAGACATCAGTTACATTGAAGAATCTGCTAAGAACTTAACACACACTGAAGTTGGTAGAGTTACTTAGCTGGTTGAATTGATTTGGAGGTATGTAAAACTACTAGAGGACTGGAATGTAGGTATAATGTACCTATTCGCAAAAAATAAAAAATCCCTACAAAGTAATTACTCTCCTGAACATGACATACAAAATATTGGGTGTAGACTCCAGAAAAAAAACATCAATATTCAATTAAATATTCATTCTAAAACAAGGTTCAGAAAAAACCTATGAAGATGGAATTCATAGCCACCACCTTTTTGTGGATTTTTGATGTGGCTAGGATAGCATCGAAATAATAAATAAGTTTTATAAAGTAATGGTAAAAAAGTGAAATCAGCACTCACAATAGTCAAGTGTAAGGTTAGAGTGCCAAATAGAATGTCAAAACTAGACTAGCTAAGATTACGACAATGAGATAATAACAGGAGTATCAATTATTAATAGAAGCATACAAATACTATATCAAGATACAATTAATGCTATATCAAGAATGCAACAAAATAACTTACAGGTGCAACACAAAACTTAAGAAACAGTGAAAGAATTCTGCTACTTTGGGACACTGCAAAAACAGCACATTCAAAGAAATAAGAAAAAGAATATGTGTGGGTAACCAATGTTATTTTGGCCTAGGCCCTCAACTAAGAGCAAGAAACATGTTAAGAGCAACAAAGTGCAAACTTTAAAAAACAATAATGTGCCCAGTGCTCACTTATGGATCAGAAGCATGAACAATGACTTGAGATGAAGAGTTAACTAAAATAACCATGCTAAATATTCCAGTCAGAAGAAAAAGAAGGGGATAAACCTAAACTCAGATATCTAGATGATTTAAGGGAGATTGGAGTAAGGGAATGAAGAAATGACACCTGACAAGAAAGGATGAAATAATGTTTTGAGGCAGGTCAGGACTCAGGAAAGGCTGTAGCACCAACTGATGATGATATAAATACTAGCATACACTGCTGACATTGACATCATAGCAAAAATACAGGCAGATCTAACCTATGTGTTAGCAGTGGTAGAAAGAGCAACAAAACAAATGAAGCTACTAAGCCAGACAAGTGCAATACAACCCCAAAGACCTAGTGATCAGAACATATAATTTCTAAGGCATAAAAAAATTCATATATCTAGGCCCACAAATCAATCACAGTAATGCAATAAGAGCAGAAATCAACAGAAGAATATATTTAGCAAACAGAGCTATTTTGGATTAGAGAAGCTTTTAACTACAACTATAATCACAAAAAGAATAAAAATATTGATATATAGAACACTTATCAAACCTGTCCTCACCTACATGCCAGTAACACAGATGTTGACAAATAGCGATTAAGCGACTATATACAAGGTTGTGCAGGAGGAAAGAATAGGACACAACTGCAACAATTTTTGGCTATACCACCTTAACAGTAAACCTGGTGATTTAGATCAATCAAAATAAAGGGCCTGTGGTGGCTAGGCCCTATAAGAGAGAGAGAGAGAGAGATTTTTTAAAATGATTTCCAGATTGGAAAGCGAAACATCAAAACAAAAAATGTAAAATGTAATTCTCATTACAATTAATTGTCATTTAATTCCTATAAATCATATATATTGCCACATAAAAACAGTTTCTAAAGCTCTTTTTAAATGAAGCTGGTACTAAAGCAACTTCCAAATGTTTAACTTTACATTTTTGTTAGAGTACTCTTTGTCAGATGACAATGAATTATTTCCAAGTAAACTGTTTCTTAATAATGAGTTTTTCTTCTATTTGATCAGTACATAATTCTATAGGAGTCACAAAATATCAATGGTAAAATTTACCACTGTTTGGGTATTATCTACTGGTAAAAAAGTAAAACATAACCTCAACATTTTAAGCTAGAAAATGTAAAAATGAATATTTTTGTATTTATTACAAAGATAATAATCATGTAGCCTGAACAGTTTTAATGCCAAAACAATTTTTTTTATTGAATCCCATAATAGCATTATGACAGTGACTATTAAAATTCTATAATTGCCAATAACAACAATCTCTTGTTAAAATTTTGGATAAAATATTGTACAGCCCCTTGGTTGTCTAATTTATTTTATTAAATTCATTATTTGCCACTGTATTAATCAATATTTCGGATATTTGCTTGATATATCAGCTAGTGTACAATGTACATAATAATACATGATATTACTTCATTAACCACTCGTGTTTCTTAAATATATAGAACATGGTTAAGAAATAAGTGTTATTTTTCTTAATATAAACTTAAAATACAAAATGTAATCATTATTTACCTAATAATACTAGTTGAAAATAATGTACTATTAAAAATAAGTATATTATAACCTCACTTTTTAAATATATTTTCATAAAACAATTTTGAAACAATATAATAGGTTTCAAATGTAAGAATATACTTGTAAATGCTACAGCGTATTATTTTTTCATTAAAATATGATTGTTAACATATTAACAAAACAATTATTTGCAGAAACAAATCATTAAGACCTTAGTTTTGAATAGATAGAAAATGGTGATCAGCTATAGCAGTATTTGTTAAATATAAACTTTGAAACATTATGATTATTTACCATATAATTTTGGATCATAGTAATAAAGAATATAGAGGCATATCTATATTCTTTGTTAGTAATTATAGGGCATCATAACCTCACTTTTTGAGTATATGTTTATTTGAGCAAAAACATTAATTATCTGTGTAACTTTGTGTGTGTAATACCAAAGTAACACTATAGGAAACTTTTCTTTATTCACCTTAGTTGTAATATATCTTTATTAAAAGATTACACATTTTTTTTTTAAATAAATAAGTCTTTGGAAAGAAAATCTATTCAAAAAGCTTTGTTTCAGATTAAGGCTGTCTCTCCACTAGGTAAGCTTAATTGAATGAGTAAAGTTGATCAAAAAGTTTAATTCAACTTTAATATATGTTTTAGGCTTAACAGAAACTTATTACTACTATTAGACTTAACTCCAAAATAATTATATTTCCAAAATAAGTCTTGGTTTTTTTGAAAAATAATGTAACAATTCTAATTGCAATTTCTTTGGGAATATGACCTAAATTGTGAACCCTTTCTTCAGTAATATAGTTCAATAATAACTTTTGAAAATGATGAGTTTCCTTAACTTAAAGAATAATAATATTCTCATTGTAATGTTTTCCAACATTTGTAAATCAAGTAAAAAGTTACAAATGCTATAAAAGTACAAATGTCAAAATTTTTGGGAAAAATTTTATTTGTCAAAACATATGTGTGTACTTCAGAACCTTCCCAATGTATTCCTTATTATTTTATTAATGATTAATAATTTAAATAATATTACCTAGGAACTGGCAGGTCTAGTGTTTCCAATCTAGCCCATATTCTTGTCAAGTTGGATCTAGGATCTCTTGGTATTACAGGAGGGTAAGAAGTGTCATTTGGTATAACTCCATCGTACCTATATATCTTCGCCGTAGCTCCCTTTTTTATTAACGGGTCAACTATTAATTTGTAGTTTCTAGGAAGCTTCTGGTTTGCCTGGCCATGTCCATGTCTTTCCATGGTAGTCCCATTCATACCTCTATAAAAAAAGTAAATTATTTTGTTTATGGATTAAAACATTTAGTTTTATAATTTTATCTTACCTATCGCAGTGTTTCTAATTCACAATTTAATAACAAAATAAAAAGTAAACAATAATTACAACTCAACTTGGTTCGAATATGAAATACGCGGGCATATTACTGACGCAATAATTTTAATCTTGGAGGTTATTTACAATAACTAGCAATAAATTTAATAATCTAAGATTTTTTGAATGGACTAGACAACGATATTTTTAAATAAAAAACCCAGCGAGAAGCACTATGTTGTACTACCTAACCTCGTTAAATGTCATCATTGTGGCAAGCAAAAGTCATAAAATGAAAATGAGGACTGAGACTGGGACATTGGGCAGCTAACCTTAAGTAAAAATATATTGTAAAACTAATAAATAAGTAAAACTTAATAAATAGTTTCTTTAACTAATATAATAAATTATTTGTACTTTTTGTAAATACATAAAAAATATGTATAACAGTTTGTTTTCGTTGTTAAGTAGGTCTTTATTGATGAAAGTAAGGCATGGCTAATACGCCAAAGTAAGGGTGAATAGTTTTATTAAAATTTTATAATCTTAATGTAAAGTCTACAAAAAAGTACATCAAAATTATACAATAAAGTTTATTTATTATGTGTAATCACACAATTATTCCCTTCTTATACCGAATAATTTTCTTACTATATAAACCTACTAAAGAGCATCTGTCTAAATGTCCGATCGGCGTAAGCAAATAAATGAAAGAAAAGGAGATATAAGGTAAGACTTTAATTTAAATTAAATTGTATAACTATAAGTTTACTATACTATTACGTTTCATTAAAAATACTCCTATAAATAAAATTTTCATATAAATAAAAAATATGGTCACAAATGAACAAATGTTGGTAGTCATGGTAATCTAAATCGAAAATACATTTGTTACAACTGCTCTGGCGAATGTCACCAAATGTCACATGTCACCTCTTGTTGACATTTCATTACGTAAGTCAATTTTTCTAAAGTTTTCTAATCCATTTAATAAAAATGGTATTCGAAAGGTTCTTGAAATTCCCTAAAATATTTTCAGTAAAGGCTCAAGACGATGATGAAGAACTAGTGGATCCACAGGAAACTTTAAGGGTAAATATGATATAACCTAAAAATAACCCCCTTATATTGGTTATGAAAGTTATAGAATTTGTCCAAAAGTAGGAACATTAAAAAAATGTTTGTACAATGTTAAGAACAGTTTATAACAGTAAAAGATAAAACAAGAATATTATTTTGAATTATGAACAACACATACCCTCTAGAGGGTCATAAAGAGACATTGACGAGGTTAGACAAATAGGATAAGTAGTCTGTAATCTGTTCAAAGTTTAAACAAACTGAAAAAGAAAGCTTAGAAAAACAAAGAAAGTTGATAACTCTGTGAGTACTGGATTGCTACGGTACTGACTAAATATATAAAATAATGAAATAATTTGATTTAAAACAAGACTATAAAGAACAATATAGCTTCATAACAATATTAAGACTATAAAGAGGATACAATAATAATATATTTATCTGTTGTATTTACTTTTTGTAACATACTGGCATTTATTTAATCATTGTATTTTTTCCTTTCAGGAGAAGTGTAGAGACACAGAACACTGCCAAAAACTAGCTGAGAAGTACCAAGCATGTAATGACAGAGTTAATTCTAGATCACGTACAACTGAAACCTGTGTTGAAGAACTTTTTGATTTACTGCATGCTGTAGACCATTGTGTGACCAAAGACCTCTTCAGTAAATTAAAATAAGTTAATATTATTTTGTAAATTATTGATGTTATGGAGTAAGTAGATAATTTAGAAGAAATAAACATTATTACATAGTGTGATTTTTTTGTCAATATTTGCAAACCTGTGGTAAATTTGTATTCTACTTGTTAAAAATGGGTTTCAAAAATGGTTACCAAAAAATTTTTTGTGTTTAAAACGTAACACTGTAAAGAAATTAACAGAAAAACATAGCATCTACTTTCTGGACTGTATAGACATTGATCTGAAATTAATACCTTCCTATGGTTTTGTCTTATGTGCTCCAGACATTATAAAACATCACAGCTGTAGCAGTTTTCTCAAATTTTCACAATCTGCAAACTACAACTTCTATTTGTACAGTGAAAATTTTTCCATGTTAACCAGGTTAGATGTATATACATTTCAATATGCAGATAAAATTTTAATTTTGTACTATTTCAACAGGGTTTTCTGTTGGGTATGGGCTATTGCAGTACTTCACATGGGTCGTCGCTAGAAGTGGTCGACTTGATTTCAATCACTTAATCTCTCCCTAACCGCCCAAGTTCGTTCGATTGTTGCATTCGACTCCGCAGACGGGCGTATTTAGTGGTTCGTCTAGAACTGCAAATCTCCTTGTCCTTGTATGACTCTCGTCACTTGCGATCGGTAGCGCACAAGAAAGTTTGAGTGAGACACACGTTTTCAGTTATGGGGATAGGATTATTATATTTGCTTTCTTTGTTTTTTATTGTTTTTTGCCCTAAAATAAATTTTTTTAAGATTGACGAATATTATGTTCATTGTTTGTAGTACTACTAGCTTTGTAGAAATATATTGTTTGTAATATAGAATTATGAAAACATTGAATTTCTGTTTCTAGGTGTTTAATATAAAATTCGTTGGGGAAGTGTAAAAATACCCTCAATTGTATAATTACACAATGAAAGAATATGTAAATAAGGATATGTAAACAATGCGTTCTTTTTGGTTGGCAGATGTGAGCAACACAAAACTGAATTCAACTAGTGTGCAGGAATAATCGCTCGTGCACAGATATACAAGACGAGCATGACACATGAACTGCTATTGTTCTGAACTATTTTCTTGTGGCATTGTAAATTAATTACTATTAAACTGGAATAGCCACAATTAAAGATAAAAATACGTTTATTGACGTTTCAATTTCCACTTCGGAAATTGTTCTCAAAATACATCGTTCTTAAGATACAAATACAAACAGGTAAATTTACTGTTGTATTTTGAGAAACGATTTCCGAAGTGGAAATTGAAACGTCATAAACGTATTTTTATCTTTAAATTGTGCTTATTCACAGTTTAATAGTAATTAACATAACTGCGTTGCATGCGATCGTGCCTCGATCGACCCTTTGCGACGGCCCTAGTGTTTCAGTTGCTACTTTAATCAAAAATTTGAAGTATTAATAAAAGCAACAAGCCATCTTTGTCCAAAGCAGGAAAGAAATAATAGCAACAGAAAACAAAAAAGACTGTTGAATCACAATAGCCTACTAGCTCAAGAAATAAAATATTAGGAAAGAAAACAATTCAATAGAGAGGAAAAAACTAAATAATCACAAGTAAGAAAAGACTCCGCAACTATCCTTATGGAAAACTGGCCCTGTCAAATTAACGAAACTTTGGTCAATGATAGTTCCAAGTGCATATATTAAAAAAGTCAATAGGACCTAGGTCTGATAAACTATTATTCTCAAGCTACAGCCTTTTGAAGTTATTGGATTCAGATGCTCAGTGTATGTTAAGCGCATTTATTCACAGTCAAGTGAATAAAAATATTGATTTTTGAAAGAATAGAGACATATTTTTAGATGCATAATTGAAAGGTAAACATTAATCAGTGTTCAAAAATAGACGCATTGTGTTTTAGTCTTCAGAAAACTGCCAAAAAGTCTTCGAAAAGCCGAGGAACAGTAATATAAAACATGCAACAAAAATGCTAGAGGCAACAAGAATTATCATGTTTTCACTAATGCTGCACACTTATTCAATACCAGCATAGCTGCAGTTCTGCCTTATTTTCAGGAAATTACTAAAGTGCTTTGAAAAAACTGAAGAACAAATGACAAGAGCTGCTAAAACGGCACAAGACATCTAACATCTTCACGATCAGAACTAATCACAAGAACATTGGAGCCGAGATTTTTCTTCTATTAAAAGTTTATCAAAAAGACCCAATAATCAGAAGTCAACATCATCGTCACTCCTAAACTTTTCAGCAGAAGACATTTATCCTCCTCCTCCTTTAGCTGGAGTATCTGAATTAACGCAGAAAATGAGTAGAAAAACAGGATATTTAAATTCAACTCCAGAAATTGAAGATATAAAACAAAAAATTTCAGAAAACGAAGCAGAAAATAATACGCCAGAAAAGTTAAAAGGCAAGTTCGTGTTTCAACTACAATAGTTCTGAAGACGGTTGTGTATGCTCTTTTGAAGAAGACGACTCGGACTAAGCAACTTGCGTTTACTGCCATGAATTATTTTCGCATTCACGATCTGAAGAATATGCAGACGTAAATCATCGACACAAAAAATTTGTGTATGAATTGTGCACGTAATTTTTTTATTCTTAAAATTACCTATTTGTAATAATTTTTATCGTTTATAATGTCTTGGTTTAATAAAATAATTTGGTATTTACTTATTTTATACAAAATGATGGATCCTTAACAGGTTTTAGTAAATTATGAATACATTTTTATCATCACTTCTGCAAAATTTGAAACATTTGCATATTGTACAATTAACAAGATGTTATGTGGCCATATTTAAAGCCTACTAAGTAAATAATTAAAATTATGAGACTATTTTCTTAAGGATATCTGACCTGGATGGTTCATCATCCAGGAATCCACAGCGGATATATAAAATATTTAGAAAGGTTTCAGATGGCCCACATTAAAAGGATGTAGTCTGTTTGTGTAATGAGGTAGAATAGTATGTATTACAACCACATTGTCTTTACAAAGATCTATTTCTTCAATAATTAAATGGGTTTGTTGGTTATCCATTACATTACAGTAAGTAGTTCTAGAATAGCAAGTTTTATAACCACATTGTCTTTACAGAGATCTATGGCTTCAATTGAATAACTAAATGGGGTATCCCTAAACTATATAGGCAAAATAGCACAGAAACAACATCCAGTATTCTCCCAAATTTGCCATCCCAGTATTGGTTCTACAAAACTAATTAAAAATAGTACTCCCCTTATAGAACGAATAAAATCTTCTAACTTTGACATGGATAAGCTAAATCGATCTCTACAAGTCAGTATAAATTTTCGTCCATGGACAATCCAACCACTTACAATTGACTTAACCCTCACACAATACCCCAAATCAACTGCAAATCCGATTTTCATTAAACACTTGTTCTCCGAATCTCATTATCCTAATTATCTCCTAATTTTCAGTGATGCCTCTAAAGCTCATAACGGACATGCTGCTGCATATTACTGTAAATACACTTCTCACACTATATTCATACCTACAAACTGCTGCATCGTCATAGGCGAGACCACAGCCATTTTGGAAGCCTTAATTTTCTTCAAAACGCATAGTGAGAATAAATGTGTCATCATCACCGACTCATTAAATGCTCTATTAGGTGTAAAACAAATATAGATACCCTACAAATCCAATATTTCGAGCTATAAAAAATGAGATAAATATAATTCAATCAAATCGAAAAGAGGTAGCATTTATCTGGGTACCGTCGCATGTAGGAATCGCTGGAAATGGGAAAGTGGACAACCTAGCAAACACAAGTCGAATAAACTCACAATACACAATCAAATCAAGAAATTACCCATACTCCGTCTCAAAAACCTAATTAAAGACCACTGTATGAACATATGGCAAGATTACTGGAAAGATTCAGGAACCAAACTATATGAGATTTATCCCCTTGTGAAGACCATCTTGAATAATCCATCCAATAGAAGGGACCAAATAATAATAAACCGACTAAGAATTGGACACACTGCACTGACCCTAATCAACAAAGAATCTTCTCCAACCTGCAGAAACTGTTCTCTCCCATTGACGGTGAAGCATATTCTGATTGACTGCCAGTACCACGAAGAAACAAGAAGAAAATATGGAATCTCAGATGACATCAAAACCACTTTAACCATAAACACTGACCATGTAATAAATTATTTAAAAGATTTAAGTTTATATACATCTATTTAATGTAAATAAAATGAATTCTTGTGTATGTTACTCCACTAATAACCCTGCGTGGTTGATGTGGATTATATGTTAAAATAAAAAAAAAACTAAATGGGTTTGGTTGTTATCCATTGTGAATAAGGAGGGTTCTCTTTTGAGCTACTGGTGTGCTTGATGTAGTATCTAAGAACCTGAATGAAACACTCTCACCGGCTTGGAGTTAAAACTTGAAAGAGTATAAGAGGCAGTAATACTAGAAGGATATCGTGTCCTTTATTGCGCATCACTACTCCGTTTTAACCTCTTTTGGAAAAGATCTAACTAAATTTAACAAAAATTTTTTCAACAACATGTAATCTCAGATAAATGAAAATTACTACCACAAATTTGTAGATGATCGCATGAGAGTAATCATAAAGAGAATAAACAGTATAGTATCTATTCCTGATGACAAAGTCTTTGTAATGCATTTTTTTGTAACATGACAAGAAATCCATTGATAACAACAAGGTAGCATTGCTGTATTTTTTTATTTACATTTAAGGCGCATCAACCTATGTGCTTATTAGCGCTGCTCGGTACTACAAAGATTTTTTTTATATTTCTGGATACATGATATAAAAACTGATTTTGGCATACATAGTGTTACGATAAATGTGACTCATACCCTAAGCTGTAAACATATTTTTTTAACACGTATTTTTAGAAGCCGTAGCAGGTAATACCCACAGGTCCCCTCTTATACCTGCGATTGGAACTTTCCAGATGAGGGTCGAATAATTCGTTGGCGTTTCGACCGAAGGTCAAAGAAGCGGGCAGAAGCTTCTAGATAAACAAATCATGTATAAAAATGGACGATTTGAGATTTAAAAAGATC